TTTTTTTTTTTTTTTTAAGGGTTGCATGTACTAAGAAAATTTTGGGTGGGTTGGGTGAAGTGGCATTTCAAAAAAAAAAAGCTCATCTCTGGTGTTTTGTGTGTTAAAAAAAAAAAAAAAGAAGCCCCCTTCTCGACTCCAATCACCAGTTTCGCCAATGTAGCTCTCCTGGATTGGCGCTCGGCTCCCAAACTACAAACAGAGAGCTCCTATCAACCTGGACTCCAAGCCACAACAGGTATGCAATGAAAATCATCAGGCCGAGGTCGAATGAAGACTCTGTGTGAGTGGACCACTTCTTCCCCACCAGGTAAGTGCCCTGTCACACCGCGCACCCCTGCTTATCCTCGCAGTCTCCTTTGCCCTAGGACCTCTGCTACTCCCCATCCGGCAAGGTGCCCATGCCGCCTGACTATGGCTGTTTGGCGCTGCCCTGCTGCATCAACCAGCGCGGGCCAGCAGCGCCCTCTTCCCTTTGGCCTGACTCTCCTCCGCTCGAGCAAGTGCACCAGCAGCACTGCCGCGTCCAGCCAGCCAGAATGTGTGAAGTGAGGCAGCCTCACTTCTTTTGTGCTGGCCGAGAGGCTCGTGGCCTGGCTGGTGAGGCTGCCCCCTGTCCCACTACCCTGCGTCCTCGGCCCTTCCAGAACCTGCGTGGGGCTCATCTGTATGTACCCTGGGGCTCAGATTCTTTGCCTGGTTCTGGGCGTCTTCAACCAACTGCGGGTTGGCCCCTACCGACTGGTTGGAGATGCTACGTGCTGCAACCAGCACACGGGGACCCATTTTCTGCTATCACAGGCCTGAGCTCGGGCCAAGGGCAAATTTTGCAGGCTTGCCTTCACTTGGGGCGGGCAGGGCCTTTTTCCAGGATGCTGAAGGGCTTCTCGCACTCCCTCCCCCTCACTTTTGAAAGCCTGAGAGAAACCTTCAATCTATTTGCCGTTTCGCGAGAAACCTTCAACCTATTTGCTGTTTCGCCTTCAACATTCGTTCCTACCGAGATACGATTTGTGGGGCTGTCTTTATCCGCTCTTCTCTGGTGAACCACCTGTCTTCTTTTGGATCCGTATGATTTCTGAAGGCAACCCTGAACTGCATCTGCGGTTTTGGAGGTCTGCCTCTAACAGTTGGGACTGTCCTTGATGATGTGATCGATGTCGACATATCCATCCATGGTTGGGGGCAGCATCGATCTTAAACTGGTCAGTGTCTGAGAAAGCCTCAGAAGGGTAGTTGTTTGGAGGCGTGGAAGACAGAATGCGTGCATAGGTGTGGTGTTCCAACACTGTCTTTTGCTGCAGCTCCTTCAGACTCTGTACTTGCTACAGCTCCTACCTGACAGAGTATAGCATTCAAGAGGTAGAGGAATAAAGAGGGGCATTATTAGTTAAAACAGCAGCAACATTAGTTAAAACAGCAGGCCATCCAGGAGTGGGTTTGGTCACTTGAGCTTGGTGCAGATCTGCAATCTTGTCGTGATTCTCCTTCGCCATCCTTTCCATGACCTCCCGCAGATCTTGCACTTTTGCAAACAATTGGGAGACCAAATCAGGGATGTAGTCGAGGAGATGGACATCGACCCGTCCGCCCCCTGATCTCTTCGTCGGTCAATGTGGGGACTGCTTTCAAGACAGCCTCATGGGCAGCAAGAGTCTCTCTCCTCTTGCTCTCCTCTGCTTCCTGCTCTTTCCTCAAGTCCTTTTCCAAGAGCTTCTCATAAAGCTCTTTATCCTCATCATCTGCTGCGTCCTTCAGAGCCTTCAATTGCTCTGAGGTCATTGCCATGTTAGAGGGTTGGGGACCGGAATGAGATTCAAAAGCTCTCTCAAGGGAAGTGCTCTCTTCCTTTCTTTTCAGACAAACACTCTTTTCCCAGTCCTCACTCACTCAAGAATGGTACTCTTATTCCCTTCTCTCTCTCTCTCTCTCTCTCTCTCTCTCTCTCTCTCTCTCTCTCTCTCTCTTGAGACCGTGTCTCCACCGGCATTGAGATAACTCAAACGAAGAATCAACTACAGAAGAAAGGATGCAACCCTACCTGCAGATGGAGCAACAATTTATTTGGACTGGAGAATGACAAATAACATTAGAAAAAAAAAAAAAAAAAAGACAGAGGAAATTGGAACGATACAGAGGAGATTAGCATGGCCCCTGCACAAGGATGACACACATAGATCGACGAATAAGATCAACCAAAAAATAACATAATAGCAGAGGTCTGGTCTAACTAATGGGTCCAATCAGATCAGGCATGAGATCCAATCTTACTAAGCCAAAATCAAAGACAAACAGATACGTCAGATTCGGGAAATTGAAACTGATAGGACTGATGTTTCATTTTGCTTGCGAGGTTTTATACATCAGATCGATAGGGACGCTGGACTCGTTTTCGAGCACACACATTCACACCATGGCACAAGGACGCTGGACCTGATTTCCAGCAGATATATTTTCATCATTTGTATAGGGACGCTGGACCCGATTTCCAGCAGGTGTAGCTCCCCACCAATAGATGGAGCCTTCGGCGCTTGAGTCATCCAGGCTCATCCTTTCAAAAAAAAAAAGGAAAAAAAAAGAAAGAAAGAAAAGAAAAGAAAAGAAAAAAAAAAAAACCAGATGCGGTAATGAAGATTTGAGGGGGTAGACAATTGCGATTCAAGCGACTTAGTGTCAGGATTTGCAGAAGAAGAAAGTCAAGGTCAACTTGAAAGTGAATGTCTCATCTAAGGTGCCCCTCCTTCCAGCATGTCGGAGAACTGCCTGCAACGGCATTAGATTTGGTAGCAAACAGGGTCCTTTCTCATTGGGCCAGGGTCCAACTGGGTGTGAATGCCCCCAGGTAGACCAGCAACCCTAGCCTCTTCCCCAAGAGGAAGGAGCCTTTACTCCGGGAGAAAGAACTCAGTGCATCCTAAAGCTATCCCTGAGATACCGAAAGGAAAAGACAAAGCACAGATCGTCCCTACTCAACTACCACCAATTGTTTTTTCCCAGAATGCATAGATGAGAGCGTTATCGAAGGAATAAGCATTGCAAACCAAGATACTTTGCATCCATCCATCCATCAGGTGAGAAAGCAATCAACAAACACATTCACACATCAGCCAAGATCACAGATAGTAGGAAAAGAACCCCAGCACACCCAGCAAGCAATGCGGTGCCATGCACTCACCATGAACTCCGCGAGGAACAGCCACGTGTATGTGAGTGGGATGTGCACGACTCCGTAGGACAGATCGGACAACACTATCAGTTCCCCTCAGAAACATAGTGTTCAGCTTTCGCCAATGCTGGGTTTTTGATCGTGGACTCTGTTTTGCCTTCGTACTCAGTCTTGCTGCCCTTTAACGAGTTGATGGACCCGTGACGCACTGTTGCTCCCCACTAGCCTCGCACTCTGAACCCTGATCCCCGACGTGCACAGTGACTAAGAGTGAAGGGGTTCAACTACGTGCCACGAGGAGAGTCGGAAGACGTGGAAAGAGTTGCACGCTTGCGCCCCTCTGATTCTGATTCTGAGCTCCGCGAGACGCGTCGCCGAACGCTCGTCCATAGACGAGGCCCGACTTACATGCCCGCACCATTCAGACCCGGGAAAAAGGCGCCGCAGAGCACTGGACAATGTCCAGTGGTACTTTTTGAATAAGATAGAAGTTGATAGCCCGCTGTTTCGTCCTCTGCCCTAATTTGTCGACCATAAGATCCCAGTTCTGACCTGCGACTCCACACTCACCTTTTCCTAAAATCCTTGGCACTTCCCTGTTGCATGCTTTTCGGGCTCCTTCTGCATTTTAGTCACTCCATGAAGGAAAGCAGCATAAGCCATGAGGTTGAGCGTCACAGACCTATGCAGAGGCAGACTCTCACATCGCAGTTCAGGGTTTCATACCCTTGAATGATCGGCGGCCCTTGAATGGCCGACTGCCGACCAGCTGACCGGTCGGCTGGTCTGCACCCTACCGGTCGGGGGTCGGCAGCACCCCGCAAAAAAAAACAAAAAAAGTAAAAACATATTCGGGTCCAGAACCTCTAATAACCCAACCAACACCCCCATACCCACCCCCAATACCACCAGAACCCCCAAACCGCCCCCCAACACCCTCATACTCGCCTCCAATACCCCCTATACCACCCCTGTACCCCCCTATAACCCCCCTGCCAAACACCCCATCCCCAAAAGTTTCTCAGCGGATTTGGGCTGTACTCAGCAAGCGCTGTACAGCCCCCAACTCAGATTTGAAAAAAAAGCAGTGGATGGCTGTTTTCTGACTGGTCAGCAGACCATTGACCAGTCGGCCCTACTGGTCGGCTGCAAACGGTCGGTAGTCGGGGTCGGCGGTCAGCAGGGATACAACCCTGTCGCAGTTGATAAATAAATCGGTACTGTAGAACACCGAACACAACGACAGGAAAATCACACACATAACCACCTGTTGGCGCGCAGCGTCCGAAAAACAACAATACCCGCGGCCCGCGTGCTTTAGAGGGTTGGGAGGAAGTAGAGCCCACCTGGAGATGTTTGGTGAAGGGAACAATGTGATGATCTCGAATCAAGGACGATGGGGTCACAACGATTTCCTCAAACCGTCCCTTCACTGGCACTGCAGTCTTGACCTGCAATGGCCTTTCACCACATCCGCATGGCTCTTTGTAGGTGGCATGAAATAACCGCCCAGGGGGATAAAGCCTTTTCGGGTTCTTAAACGCTTTCTCAGCATCTTGAAATGGCCGATGCATGGCCTTGGCAAAGGCATAATACGCCAGAATGACCCCTGCGAAGCTGCAGACATTGCCACCATCACCGTCTCGATCATGACCACCATTACCATTACCATCATCGCCACCACCATCATCATCACAATTATCATGACCATCGCCAACACCATCATCATTACTAACATGATACCATTGCCATTGGTTCACAAAATAACCATGTCGCGCAAACGACCTAAAGCCTAAATCATCATCACACCCTACAGATAACACACTCTAAAGGACCTTCAAAAGGCTTCAAACCCCTAACCATCGCCAGAATCATCGTTGTCATCATCGGCAGTAGGGACACCACCACCACCACCACCACCACCACCAGGGCAACCACCATGATCATCGTTATCACATCAGAGTGGGCCCACAGGTCAGCATGGACCCTGCTAAGCAATTGATTCTGATTGGTTCATTGGTTTGCAGGCTTCAAGTCACAGAAGGCAAAACTAGCAAACTGCAGGAAAAACATGTAGGTGTCATGCTGAGGCCATTTAAAAGATTCTGAGATGAGATTGAAGAAGAATATGGACAGTCAGATTGGATTCAGGAACAAATTGTGGAAGGTCTTCTGTGAGAGGACAGAAGCTTGGTTGTCGTTTCCACTGCACACTGGCATACAAATTGCATTTGCATATTACGATGAGAAAAGAATAGATGGGACATGGGGGCTGTGAGTGTTAAGAAAAAAGCAAAAGAGAAAATCCGAGACGTGGCAAATTTTGTGCACTTCTTGACAGTTCTTGCATAATTTTGTTCTGCTCTCTCTCTCTCTCTCTCTCTCTCTCTCTCTCTCTCTCTCTCTCTCTCTCTCTCTCTCCCCACCCCCCGGGGCACTTCAAAACGTTGAAAGTGAAAATGAATCTTTCCCGAACACGAAGGAACATGCATCCTCCTTTCGTGCTCTCTCTCTCTCTCTCTCTCTCTCTCTCTCTCTCTCTCTCTCTCTCTCTCTCCCCACGATGAAATTATTTTTCGTGCTTTCTTTTCCTCCTTTTTTTTTTTCTTTCTATTTTGTAAAGAAGAAGGTCCCTAGTTTTTTTTTCCTTTTATGCTTCTTTGTTCTTTTTTTCCCTAAATCAAGTCCGGGACAATGAACGCCCAGTCCAGGCTCGGCATGGCTCGGATTTCCGATCGACGAAGGATCAGACTCGACAGCAGGGCCAAGTACTGGTGGTCAAGTCCCACTCCATATTGTTTTTCTTGATCGTACCCAGAAACTCCACAGAGCGTACGGCAGCACATTGATTGGTGACAGCGGGGGCCAAGTCCCACTTACCCGAATTCTCAATTTCCGACCATAGATTAGGAAGATCAACGGCCAAGAATGAACGATCAGCCTAAGTGGGACTTGGCCCCGGGTTGGTGAAGGTGGGAGATACGAGGGGTTTGAAGGTCGCTAAGGAACAGAGGGAGCGTGAAGTTTCATAGCGTAAACATGCGCTGTGAAGTTTCATAAGGTAAACATGCGTTGTCTTCTGATGACGAGGAGTTGAGGTTATTACTACAGTCTTCCCCCGAATACAACGTACGGTCATTATAGCTGAATTTAGACTGAAAGATGCACCAAATTCGGCAATAATGACCGTGCGTTGTATTCGGGGGAAGACTGTAGGTGAGGTAAAGAAGTTCAGATAAGTCCGGACAAAAAAAAAAAATGTAGTTATAATGTGACCAACTCATGACTACTAGGTAGCGGGTGATATGCCCCACCAATATTCTGGAGTCGGTAGCGAAGCAGCTAGGAAGGAGTGTATGCTCTTATCATCACTCATAGCTGNTTCTCTCTCTCTCTCTCTCTCTCTCACACACACACACACACACACACACACACACACACACACACACACACACACACACACACACACACACAAGAATGACATAGCGATAACAGAATGTCGTGGGCTGCCCCAAGAGTTGTTGTGGGATGCCCCAACAAAGGCACGCACGCGGCACAGCGAAACAAAAAGCGGGGGCGGAAACAAAATACTGTGTCCCATAGCCAAAAAAAAGCAGTGCCACACAAACTTTGAGGCCAGCCTTTATTCATGTCCACAACTCAACGGCACCAATCACATCTCCGTGGCTGTTGCAGACCATGAACACCCAATCGCAACGGTCGTGCAATAAATCGCAGTTTCCCAGTGGGGCTGTACAGTAAGTGTTTGGCTTTGTAGTTTGTTTTCTTGTTTTGAGCCTTGCGGGACTTGATCCCGTGACCTGTAACTCGTGTATTATTTTTGTGAGTGCTGCTCCCTATGGGACTTGATCCCTGAGTCTGTCACTAGTAGTCTCTGTTTGGTAGCCTTAGGTCATTCGGCCTTTTCCTTTTGCCTTGTCATAGGTCTAGGTTCCCTTTTCCCCCTGTTTCCATCTACATGCAGGTGAGTATTGGGTTGTTGCCTTTGGAGTCCCTCGTGGGTCTAGGCAGAGGGTAGAAGTAGCGGGCAGGAAATTTGGTTTGGGTCTTTTCACGTTTTGGTTGGCTGGGGAAACTCTGCCCGTCCGTTGCTGGAGCGCTGCTGCTCTATTTTCGGTGAAGTCATCTTCTTCCTCGAAGCCCAGCCATAGCTGGGGTTGGGAAACAAAGTTGAAGATCACACTGCTGCTATTTCGCAGCTCTGCTTCCACAGGCCTGTGTTGTTGGGTTTGGGTGCTGCCATCTTCTACTTGGCAGCCATATCTGCTGTTCCTCTCGAGGAACTTTTGTCTTCTTTGAAGGGCTGGATCGGTTGTCTCCTTCTTCATCAGGACTTCAAACGCTGCACTTCCGTGCGGGTGCTGAGCTGGCGCTGTTATCATTAGGGTTGCTGGTTCAGATTGGCACGTTGTGACAGCTGTGGGGTTAGCTACGGAAGCCATAGCCAGGGGTATGAGGTGGCAAGGAGGAAGAAGAACACTCCTGCATACTTCGTTGAACACTTGTTTTTGGTTGTTCGGGGTTGTTGTAAACGCGGTTGTGATTTTTGGAATAAGTACTCTGGATTGATTGGAGGAGGACGAGAGATTGCAGAATTGAAATCCGTTTTTCAATTCTCTCAGTTTCTCTGTGTATTTCGAGCTTCCGCTGTGCATATCTTCTCTCCGGTTCTGTGTGGATTTGCCTCCTTCGAGTCTACTCTGCAATTGCATGCGTGTATGGGAACGTGTGAATTCGTTGTGGATTGAGATTCAATCGGGCACATAACAGTTGGTATCGGAGCTGCGACCGTGTGCAACCATCGAGCAATTGAGTGGCAACCTCCTTTCTGAGCGGCGGTTGGAGTAGGGACTTGTTGTCCGCTTTCTTCAACGGATGTCGTTGGTGAGAGGTGGTGGAAGGTTGTGTGTGAGGGGAGAATTACCGCTATCAAAAAAAA